TTTAGGAGTAAAAACTACCTCTAAGTGAAAAAAATTGAAAAAAATTAAGTTTTAAGCATTTTATTGAGAAAAATTTTGTTCAAGCACAAAGATTAAATAATGTTCCATGTTCTTGAACATGTTTTATGATATATTTGATCGATTCGACCCTTTATTTAACCTTTAAAAACTACCCCTATGCAAAAAATAATAAAATAAACTTTTTAAAGATTTGGAATGATTAAATCGTGCAGTTATTTAAAATAAAAGTTACTTTATAGCTAATAAAATAATTTTTCCTTTCAACCCCTAAAAACCAACCCTGTATTGACAAAAATGATATAAAATTACTTTTTAAAAGCTTGGAATGCTTTAACGGTGCAATTATTTAAAATAAAAATTCCCTCATTGCGTATGAAAGAATTTGTATCTCATAACATTTTTCAACCCTTATAAATCACCCCTGTGCTAAAAAAATGATAAAAAATTACGTTTTAAATCTTGGAATGCTATAATTGTGCAATAATTTAAAATAAAAATTCCCTTATATTGTTTATGAAAGAATATTTTACTTTTGCCATTTACAACTCTCATAAACTACCCTTTTACCAATATTAATGTAAAATATTTTTATTATAATCGATTTTTAAATATAATCAATCATAAAAAAATTGCTACGATGAATATAAATAATCACACTAATTTTTTTTACTTATTTTATTTGTATAATATAATATATAAAAATGAGAAAGCCTATTTTGCTTCGAAAAAATGTCATTGGTTTTTTTACTATTACTCGGTTAATTTTGAAGCTATATTATACTTCAAAAAAACATTTTAAAGATAATTTCAAGAGCTGTAAGATCGTTTGCATATAAAACCTTTTAAGTCCTTCGTTTTTTAAAGGAAAAGGATTGAAGGGTCGTTTTTTCACTAAAATGGATACTTCAAGCTTTGATATCTCCTTTACTTTTTATGCTATAGAAATAAAAAATGCAAAGTATTTGTTGAAAAAAAAACAACATTTTTGTTGTTTATCATTGTTTACGTATCTTTCATAGTTTCAGAGTTATTATATAAATAAGGCAATTTTTTTAATACGTTTTCAAATTTTACCGTACATTATTCAGAAAATACGCATTCTAAACCGGTCTAACTTCAGGGTCGTATGAAAGACACTAAAACAAAATTAATTGTAAAGAGTTTACGATTAATTTTAATTCTGATGGAAATGGTACAGTGTTTCCTGCTCATTTTTCCTTAAAAAATATAAGCAACCCATCTGTTTTTGACGATAACTCCTTCAATTTTGCTCTAATTAACTTTTATAAGTACTCATTTTGAAGGTCTTTTTGAGTACTACAAAAAACTCCAGGAGCGTTATAGACGTAAAATTAATCCTTTTTCCGTTATTCGACTTTGAATACATCGATTCGAGTATTCCTCCCAAAACAAGTCCCCTTCCACTAAACCATATTTCGCTTTGTATAGGACATACAACACGTTTTAAAAAACGATTTTCTTTGTTTATTTATAACCAACATTTTTATTTTTCTTAATAAAATGCGTAGTTTTTAAGTTATTCGCGAAAAATATTTTGAAAGTGTTTTTTTTTTTTTCACTCAAAATTCCAAATTTTCAATCGTGAATAACTTAAAAAACTATTGATTTCTCGAAAAAATTATTCGAATATTTTTTTAAATTATCGATTTCCAGCGTTATTTCTTTAAAGAATTTCTACCCCCGAGAAGGGGTATCAACCCCCAACAGAGTGGAGGCGTCAATCGGCGCTATGTCACTAATGTTCATTGACCTTTTCTCTAACTATCTGCTAAATTTCAAGTCGATCGGTTCAGTTTCAAAGAATTCGGAAGTGAAAACCTTCAATGACTGTATAGTCCAACCAAATTACACTTAGAGAAAAAAAAATTGTTACCTGGACTTTTATAAGTGGAAATGGTAAAGGGGCTTATAATAAACGTAAAAAAAATAAATGCGTGAGCAGGGGCGGCGGAGGGTTGATTTGGGGGGTTGAAGAGGGGTGAAAAATGGTATTATTGAGATTTTTGGCGAAAGTTGATGTCAAACAAAAAAGTATCCAATACAAAAGTTATAGATCATGAAAAAATCTACAACTCTTGTAGAGGGCACTTTTGAAGATAACCTCAAAATTTCCGAGAAAAATGCGAAAAACAGGTTTTTTCCTTTTTTTTCGTTTTTTATTTCTCATTTCCGCAAAAATAATTTAATTTTGACGAAACTTGGTGAAAGTATACTTTGCTGTGTCTTAAATAACCACAATTTTTTTTAGATAAAAAAATCAAGAAGTTTCCGAGATATTCATATTTTCCGGTCGGAAACACTTTTTTTTCAAAGAAAAATTCTACTTAAAAAAATCATCGTACAGAGTTCTGCCGGTAATCATTTTTTTCGTTTTGACATATACTTTTTTGTGAAATAAAAAAAATTGGAATCGCACTTCAAAAACATGCTCAAAAATGCAAAAAAGAAAAATGGCTCTTGCAGAAATGAGTTTTTCAGTAATTATTGTTGATAGTTTGTTTAAATTTAAAGAAAATTCAAAAACTGATTACACCATTCGATTGTACGGAAAAAATACAAAAGAAACTGTGTCTCATTGTTTGACCCGAAATTTTATTTTTGTACAGTATTGCTATAAACATAATATTTTTTTTCGTAGGATCGATTAATGTACTTATTTTTTTTAACTTTGAATTGAATTCATAGATGTATAAGCGACTCTTTAATTAAATTATGTAAAATTCAGATTTTTGCTTTCAAAATTTAAAAAATATTTACAAAGGATATTTACAGTTAATAATACTAGGCGAATCTTGGTCTTTTTGGCAACTTTTTAAATTGATCTTCATCGTCCTATCCTTCATTAAACTGGGTTTCTTCCTGATCTTCAAACGTTTCTTCGATATCACTTAATTCTTCGGTTAATTGATCTTCCGGGTTCAAGCAAAGACTGGGCTGCTCGATTTCATTTGAAATGTCTTCGGAATCACTGAAATTTTCTGAAATTTTGTCAAGGTTCAAACAATTGTCCGAACCATGACATTTTGTACATAAATCTGTACATCGCAGTCCATGTTTTCGACACCCGCATCTATTACCGTCACAACTGGTTTCGCAGCTGCAAGAGATTGTTTTTATTAAATCTTCAGGAACGACTGAAACTTCTGTAAAGCGAGGCATGAGTATTTTGGAATTATTCGCAATTACTTCTTTCCAGCCCCACTTGGTTGCAGTTATTTTGTTTCCAAGCCACGTCTGAAGCTGAAAGTATGCTCTATAGGAGTGTTGTGTAGCTGCTCCGACAGTTGGTGGTAATTTTTCTAATTTAAAAGTAGACTTTGCAGTTAATACTTTGTATTGCTGAAATCTCAAATCATCCAGAGATAATTTATCATTTGTGCATTTGTAAATAGACGAAATTAATTTACAACCATTTCGAACAATGACTTTTGATTCTGCATTAGTCTCATAAAAAGGTTTTACCAACGGTAATAGATGCGGGTGTCGAAAACATGGAGTGCGATGTACAGATTTATGTACAAAATGTCATGGTTCGGACAATTGTTTGAACGTTGACAAAATTTCGGAAAATTTCAGTGATTCCGAAGACATTTCACATGAAATTGAGAAGCCCAGTCTTTGCTTGAACCCGGAAGATCAATTAAACGAAGAATTAAGTGATATCAAAGAAACGTTTGAAGAACAGGAAGACTGGGTTCTAATGAAGGATCGGACGATGAAGTTCAAGTTAAAAGGCTGCCAAAAAGACCAAGATTCGCCTAGTATTATTAACTGTAAATATCCTTTGTAAATATTTTTTAAATTTTGAAAGCAAAAATCTGAATTTTACATAATTTAATTAAAGAGTCGCTTATACATCTATGAATTCAATTCAAAGTTAAAAAAAATAAGTACATTAATCGATCCTACGAAAAAAAATATTATGTTTATAGCAATACTGTACAAAAATAAAATTTCGGGTCAAACAATGAGACACAGTTTCTTTTGTATTTTTTCCGTACAATCGAATGGTGTAATCAGTTTTTGAATTTTCTTTAAATTTAAACAAACTATCAACAATAATTACTGAAAAACTCATTTCTGCAAGAGTCATTTTTCTTTTTTGCATTTTTGAGCATGTTTTTGAACTGCGATTCCAATTTTTTTTATTTCACCAAAAAGTATATGTCAAAACGAAAAAAATGATTACCGGCAGAACTCTGTACGATGATTTTTTTAAGTAGAATTTTTCTTTGAAAAAAAAGTGTTTCAGACCGGAAAATATGAATATCTCGGAAACTTCTTGATTTTTTTATCTAAAAAAAATTGTGGTTATTTAAGACACAGGAAAGTATACTTTCACCAAGTTTCGTCAAAATTAAATTATTTTTGCGGAAATGAGAAATAAAAAACGAAAAAAAAGAAAAAAACCTGTTTTTCGCATTTTTCTCGGAAATTTTGAGGTTATCTTCAAAAGTGCCCTCTACAAGAGTTGTAGATTTTTTCATGATCTATAACTTTTGTATTGGATACTTTTTTGTTTGACATCAACTTTCGCCAGAAATCTCAATGATACCATTTTTCACCCCTCTTCAACCCCCCAAATCAACCCTCCGCCGCCCCTGCTCACGCATTTATTTTTTTTACGTTTATTATAAGCCCCTGTACCATTTCCACTTATAAAGGTCCAGGTAACAATTTTTTTTTTTTTTCTCCTAAAAATGAGTTATTTCGATCGGTCTAGTACTATTAGTTTCCAGTTAAAAATTGTTGTTGCATTGGACTCGTCCAAAACGCCATCACCACCGAGTCCCGTACTGGCACTCACTTTAACCCGGTTACTGTTCCACCATCTTCGACCTCCTCGATTATTTATCACGACCCCCCCGCTGAACTTTTCACTCTAATCCATATTGCATCGCTCCGTAACGCTTTCGTCTTCAGTTGGGCGCCATCATTTAAAAACTTTATTGTTACAGCTACGACACCAGAGGGGCGCACGCCACGTCGCCGAACCGCTGGCAGGACAAAAACCTGAACGCCAGGGCCTTCTTCAGGACCATGAGCGAGCCGTCCACCCTCAGCATAGACAACGTGAGCGAGAGTGACGAGGGGGAGTATCGGTGCCGCATAGATTATTTACGCTCGCCCACCAAGAATTTGCGGGTCACGCTGACAGTTGTAGGTAAGTAATGGACCTGGGAGGACTCCCGGCGTCAATTCTTTATGAGAACATCACTGATACCGTCGAGGAGATAATGCCAGATAGGCGTTTTGCGCTTGAATGTGGGTAGTTGTTATTTTATTTATGTCAAAAATATTTAAATTGGTCTGAAATTAGTTAAATTAATCTTAAATCTTAAATCTTTAAAAGATCGCTTTATTAAAAAGTATACTTCAAAATATGTTTATTTGAAGTGATAGACTAGTACTTCCAAATGCAAAGTTGTAGGAAATAATTCTTTCCAGTGTTGCCACATTTCTTCAGTAACTGCTAAAACAACTTTTTAAATGACAACACCATATTTTTTTAATCTAATTTTTAAATAAAAAATGTTATGTCACATTTCTTTATTGAAGTAGCACTTATAGAAGAATCAGCAAAAATAACGAAAATAATCTGCAGTCGGCAGGAACTAAAAGAAACTAACATAGCTATATGAGGCCTTAGAAGTTAAACAAAAATAGTGTTGTTTGAAAGGGACCATCAGTATTTAGCTGTCATTGTTTTATTTGAAAGCTGTTGTATTTGAATGTATATAAAAATAACGTTATAATTCAGTTGCTAAGGTGAATCGGTTATTTAATCCAAAAGTGAAAGTTGAATTAAGTTTTACTTACTCATATACCTACGACCGATTCCACACACACGGACTCTCGGCAAACCCTTAAACCAACAACACATCTTTTTCACAAGCTTAGTTTTCAATAAAAAATAGTTTATTTGTACCGTTGAGAGAGCGTTTTATTTGTGCTGTACAGCGAAAGCAACCCTCAAAGATATAATAATAATAGTTTATTTTTGACTGCAAGTACTAATACAATTACAATTTACAATACATTGTAGGCAGAGGGTCTAAATAAACGAGAAAGATTACAATTTTCCATTAAAACCAAAACATGGTTGTGCATGGACAGTAATTGATGACGCTCATATTTATAAATTATTAAATTAAAATTATTTTTTCTAAATAAATTTTATACATTTGTGGCAAACTATTAAATATTTTTTGTGAAAGGTTAGTATGACAGCGTAGACTAGTATTTCTTTGTGAAAGGTCAATTTTTGCATTATTGTTTTCTTTATATCTTGTACAATAACAATGACTGACTTTTTCAAACGTTTTGTTCTTATAGATAAAGAGAATAATCTGGTGCATGTACAATTGTCTAATATCGAGTATTCTAGTTTCTAGGAATAGTGTCTCAGATGGGTAAATTAGCTTTTTATTATAAATTATCTTTATTATGCGTTTTTGTAGTATATCAACTTGCCTAAGGTGACAATATGCAGCACTACCCCAGCTCAGTATTGCATATTGTAGTCTCGATAGGACTAATGCATAATATAGTATTTTTAAGTGTGATAAATCTAAAATATTTTTTAGGTATTTAAAACGATACAAAAGTTGCCTTAGTATTTTGGTTATGTTACTTGTGTAATGGGTTTCCTTTTTAAAAGAAATGCACTGCATCTTTATACACTTTTGTTTATTACTAAGGTTACACTTAATACAACTTAATACTAGAGATCGTTGAAAATGTATTTAGTTCGAAGAATATTTTAGTAATTGAACGAAGGAATGAATAATAATGATTGATTCTTTAGTCTTACTGCTCTAATACTGAGTATTTATATAGAACTAACTTGAAAACAGCCATAGTCGTACAAATAGATCTTAGATAAATGAAAATATAAATGTAATTAACGTTCGGACAATTAGTCTCCAAGATACAAGCATCAATAGTAGATAACTAGTTGAATAAATAGTTTATCGATTCTTAATGGCAATAGACAATGAGAATTAGTAATACTTGTTATTGTTGCTTGCTTCCGGAGCATTTCTTGTTTACTTATTTTAGTACACATACTTAACTTAAATCAATACCTAATTACTAAGGAATACATCTTATTTTAATATTAACGATATAATACATAGGCGTAACATGGAAGGTAGGGTTGGTACATTACACTTGCATGAACATTCCATCGTAAATGAGAATCAATAGTGACCCCCAAGTATTTAAAATCACTTTTAGAATTTAATATTATATTATCTTTCAGTAACAAAGAGTGATATTTAGGTAGACATTTTATATTATTGGAAAATGGCATAAAAAGTGTTTTTTCGTAGTTTACCGTTAACAATTTGTGGCTAAACCAATTAAAAATCATTGAGAGGTCTATTTCAGTTTTATTTTTAAAAATTTCCCATGTTGGCATTATATAAAATAACAGTGTAATCTGCATAACTAAATATTTGGCCAGATGTAAAAGAAGTAAGGATATTGTTAATATATAATGGAAGCAAAATTGGTCCCAAAAGCTTCTTTTTTTCCTCTTTCTTGTCTAATAATATGGGAAATTATACCAAATCCATATAACTTAGTAGTACTAACAACAACCGGTAGCGTGTCCCCAACGATCTGCAAAAGGCTAAAAAGTGTTGTTACTAAGGAAAATATTCTTTTTTGTAATGTGAAAAATCCTGACAAGTCAACGCACAAAATTGCTCACGAGGTAGGTTGTTTTCGGTCAAAGGTGTGGGCCACTTTACAAGGGAACAATTATCATGCATACAAAATGAGAAGCTAAAGTACAAGAATTGCATTATGAAGATTGGAATTTTACGACTGGTTTTTGGACAGGAAGCGTCAGCAAACCAATTTCGAGAAGCACATTTTTTATAGCGATGGCATGAAATCCACAATAATAGAATTATCGGACTTATCCTCATGGCACAAAACTTAAAGGGTGAAGGTTATTTAGAGTTATTGAGAAACAAACTTGAGTTGTTTATTGATGAACTACCGTTAGCAGAAAGAAGGTTATTCTATTTCCAAAAAGATCATTTTACACGAAATGTGCGGGTTTATCTCCATGAGATGGATAGGGAATCAGTTGAGTGGTCTGCTAGGTCGCCTGATCTCACACCTTTACATTTTTTCCTGTGGGGTATCTTAAAGTCCAAAGTATATGTGGCTGCTCCTAATTCCGTTGATGAACTGATACTATCAATTCACGAGAAATTAATAAGATTAGCCCAATATTTTGGTAAATGTTATAGGCATTGCTAAAAGAATTCATTAACGTAGATTACATGGAGGGCACCAATTTGAATATTTGTTAAAAAAAAATATTATTGAATATCTTATAACAGTTTTTTTATTGTTAGTTTAAAGTAGTTTCTTTTAGCAAAAAAATTGTTGAATGAAAATTGATTGTCCTACTCCAATAACGAACAATACCATAACATTTTTTATCTAAAATTTGAAGATTTTTCAACCGTCTTTCATAGTATACGGTACAAAGTAATTTAGTATATAAACAGTGATTCAATCTCGATTTCAAATAAAAATTTCAAGATTTCCTGTAGGTACAGTTGGTATGGTCGTAGATTTTTCTTTGCAAACTCAGTGCTTGGTTTCAAATCTTTTGACAATAGCACATTTTCACTCAATTCAAGATTGCAAAGAATATGTCTTTGGCCCGTCTTTGTTTCGAGTTTCACTTTGAAAATCAACTAATACAATAGAAGCATCTTATTTGAGTAAAAGGCATATTGCGTTCTGAAATAAGAACCTCTAAATTTCGTTTTACCAAAACTTTTAGCCGTACTTATTTATTGTTTTTATAATATTTACTGTTGAGGAAAATAAAACTCAACACTATACTTGATACATTAATTCGAAGGAAGACAAAAGCCTGAATTTTTTCACAGTTTCAGAACCTAAAAACGTGTACTGTCATTTTAAATATTCAAACTATGCCGCATATCAACGACTAAAAGGTACTGCAAGGACTCTGCTCTCACAGCCCGTCCCTTTAGTGTGTTATTGTCCTTCCCATTCAGTCCTCCCGGTTATTTTAACTTCACGAGACAGTGCCGGTTACTGCGGCAATTACATTCGTAACTTTAAAGAGATAATGCAGGCAGACCTGACGAAGGCATTACGGGAATAATATATAGAATAGGCCCCCACTGACTAAATGCGCTATTAAAAATGGGATGGTAACTTTTTAGAATATAAAGTGGTTCCGTATTTCCGCTTTTTGCTCCGTCTCGGGGATATTGTTTATTAACTTAAATTTAAAAAGCTTTTCCGACGGGTTCTGTGAAAAAATGTGCATATGTGAGTATAATTTAGATGAATATTAGACATTTTGTCTTTAATGGGGCAGAATGACGTAGGTATCCATATACAGGGCGGCCAAATGAAAACGAAACATAGGCATTTTCAGGAACTGCGTCAGGATTGTAGAAAAACGCTCAGACCCGTCGATTTTAGATTAAAGGGGGACATTCTTTGCTGGTATTTTTGACTCCGCCACTTTCACCCCCAAGCAAGGGTAAGCATCACCCCAAAATATTTAAATTGCATTGGGGGTTGAGTAATATTTCTTTTGAAAGCTGTTACAATTCTCTTTACAACAGACTTTAAATTTTATAATTCCGCCCAATACTTTGAAAAAAAATTACATTTTAAAATTTAAATTATGTTTAGTTGCTTACTTACTACTTAGTTGATTAAATGTTCAAACTGATGACCGCCCGCTTCCATACAAGAATAAAGATTTTGTTCGAAACGTTCGCGCACATTCCGAAGCATTTCCGGAGTGATTTGACGGCATTCGTCGACGATTCTTTGACGCAAATCTTCCAGCGACGCTGGCTGCGTTTTATAGATTTTACTTTTTAGATATCCAAACAAAAAGAAATCAAGGGGCGATAAATCCGGTGATCGTGGAGGCCACTCAATGCTGCCTTTTCTCCCAATCCAATTCCGTAGAAAACGTTGGTCCAAATACTGACAGACAATTAACGCATAATGCGGAGGAGCACCGTACTGTTGAGAAATCGAATGATCTTCGTCATACTGTGGAACATTTACAATAATATCAGTCAAGGCAGGGTCAATAGCCAATAATAGCAAATACATTTGGCCCATCAAATTACCAGGTAG